TACCTTCTTCATAGGGCTCCTGGCAGGACTGTGAAACAGGAAGGGAAGAATGTCCTCATTTAGGTTGGACACTGGCAGCATTTTCTGGGCGAGAAACTCTGCATTTGCTCATGGTTTTTAATAATCACCCAATTACATGCAACTGTTTTGAGATATATCCCAATTTGAAGTGCACAATAAAACCTAGAATACAGCCTTGGGAGTTGTGGGCCCATAGTTTCTGAAAAGTAGATGGCAGGGAAACTGCTGAACTGTTTCTTTTCCTTCCCAATTACAAAAAAAAAAAAACCCCACCAAAACATAAAAATGAAAAAACCCTCCCACGTTTAATGAATGTGCTCACCCTCTCCACATATGCATTGCCCCAAACTTCAATCCACATAAATTTGTGAAAGAAAAGATTCGGATCAAAGCTGATTATCATCCCAGGCTGCTGAAAATGGATTTTAGTAGCGATTACCACTCCCTCCCCACATGAGGCTCCCCTACAACCGAGGGATGGACAGCAAGGAGTCAGCACTGAGTCTCAGCTCCAAACCTCAAATGAATCTGGTTATTTTTCTAATAATAAGTTTAAAGTGATAACTGCAGCATATTTACAAGGAAATTTGGAGGGAAAAAAAGAGTAAGATTGAAAAAAATTAATCTATGTCAAAAACAATGGTGACAAAGGCACCATAAATAAATTGAAAAGACAAGCCATAGTCTGGAAGACTAACATATGGAACACATACATACAGTGTGTATATGTATATATATGTGTGTGTGTGAGTGTGTGTGTATTCATATGTATATGTGTGGGTACGTATATATATACATGTATACACACAAAACTTCTACAAATTAATTAGACAAATTAATAACCCAATATAAAAATGGTCAAAGTGTTTGAATAAGCAAATAATAGGGAGGAAACACCAATAGCCAATAAACATATGACAAGTGGTTCAATCTCATTAGTAAGAAGAGAAATGTACATTAACTCCGTTTTGGAGAGCCATTTGACTCTATCTAAAATGTGCATATTCTGTAACCCAGAAATTCCATCGGTAGTATAAACCTAGAGAGGCACTCATGTGCATAAGATGTCATGCACCACAGTGGCATTTTTAATAGTGAAAAACTGGAACTCAATTGCCCCTGAATAGGAGAAAAGCTACATAAATTACAGCACAGGCACAACATGAAATGTTATGAAACAATGAAGTAGGTCTATATGAATTAACAGGGAAAGATCTTAAAGAAATATTAGCAAAAAGCCAGCTACAGACACATTCGATTTTATACCTAAATAGGGGAAAAAGCCTTTTCAAAACAATGCTCTCTAGTTGCTTAGTGCTATAGATTCACACTATTGTGCTTAAATGTATAAAAAATATTTCAGAGGATTCAGACTAACCTGGCAATTGTTACTGGGAGGGACGAGGATCTTAGGGAGAGGAGGGCTTATAGGAACTTGTACGGTGGTAGGGGTCCAAGGTGATTTTTAACTTATCTATAATGCTTTGATGTTTTCAAGGAGTTGATATTTATGTATTACTTGAGTAATTTAAATAATACTTCAGTAATTTATATAATGAAACAAAAAGTTGATTAAAAAAACAACACTAATGATCTAAGAAGGACTGAGAGAAGTGGACAGAGAAATTAGCCCAGCAGCATAGGGTCTGTCTGTTAGTTTACCGAAATTCGTGAGAACATGAGTTGTCATAAATTCATCATGTGGAAGGCCTTTCACGATGGGGTCCCCTCCTATTTGTAAGCGAATTGACTCTGTGACTGTCCAAGGCTCACAGGCTCCTGGGGCCCATCCCTCCCTCAACAGGAGAAAGGATTGAGACCTCACTAATAAGACTCAAAGCTACAGTCTAAGAACCCTTGGTCAGAAGGAACTGAAGAAGAAAATAGTACACATGCAGTGTAAAGGAATCTTTGTCTGCGGCTGTATTAAATTGTTATATCCACATATTGCACGTTAGCAGCCAAAATGAAGCTCCCTAATGTGGTCTCATGGCAATAATACTGTAAAACAATACAAATTGGTAATAACTCGCCAGTTTCTCAAGGTGGAGGTCTGGAATTGACAATGCTTTTCTCAAAAACCACAACTTGGTAAAAGGCACAGCTATTAGAAAACAGATTCTCTTCCTAAATGCCTTGAAATCATGTCCTTTTTAATTGCCCAGAATTCATGTCACTTGTGTGAAAAGCTATAAACATACACAATCATAAAAACACACTTAGACATCCTGAACAAAATCAATGCCATATTATTTTAGTTTATTATTCCTTGTAGAATTCACACGGGTCTTCCTACTTTGATATTTATTTATACCAAAGAAGCAAAAGAACATAAATGCCACACTTGGGACAGCACTAATGCTAGAATTGAGTAGAATACATATAGCTTCCACCTTAATTTAAAAAACTAAAGCAGTCTTTACAAATCAACCTCACATAATATAGGACAAAGCTGAAGGTCACTGTATTATTCATTTTAAAAGGCACTGATAAGGATTAAAATTAAGGTTCATGAGGTTTGAAGGACTGTTAGCTTGCATAAATGGCTTCTTCCTTCCTAACAGGGGATGATAGAGGGGGTGTGAGGGGGGGTTGATGATAAATAGTACAAAAAAGGATATACTTTTTTCTTCCCCCCTGGGCTCTGTTATTCATCTCTTATTGGAACCCCTAAGCTCTTTATTCAAGAGGTCCTCTGCTATTCACAACTTTGCTGCTCTTATGAAAAATTAATGATTGCTTTCTCTTTAACAGAAAACTGCCTTATTTTGCAGAAGATTAACAAAGAGGATGCAGTGCAGAAGTGACTCCCTCAGCAGGAGAAGCTTCTCTCACACCAACCCATTTATGGCTGGGGGAAAATACCCCGTTAGTTCAAGGATAGCAAATAAATAGATGCTGTGCAGCCTGGTACAGATGGCAGAACAAGGACTACATCCATCATAAAAGGGATGTGCCAATGAAAACAGCCTGCCCCCAACAGCAGGCTGACCCCACGCCCTGCTCGCTGACTCCTTTATGCAGGCACCGAGTGCCATGCTGCGTTTGCAAGCTATTGTTCAGCAGGCGGATTTTCTGCTTGGGGTTAACAGGTGAGAGCAGTGATCCCATATGCAACAGCAAGAGCAAAATAGAGAGAATGCTTTTAGTTAAGCTGCCAATGCTCAGCAAACACTTCTGAAAATATCACAGCTCAATATTGCATCATTCATGAATGGAAGGGCTGCAGGGTGGGTGGGGAGCGGGGTGCTTGTTTCAAAATGATTTACCAAGGTAAGGAGAGAGTGCAGAAATGCAAACATAAAATATTGTGGCTTATGTTCGGTCCTATGCATGCATCTGTTTTCATTTTAACATCTAGTTGTGGCCATCAAAGATTTCTGGTGAAATTCCACTTTCACTATTTAAAGTCCCACATTGTTACATGATTTCACATGTTAATTTCACTCAGTCTTTCATGACCACATGTCTGCTAGAGTCCCTAAAGCCAGAGAGGTTATATTAATTAATAGTTTGTTAGTAAGGGACCAAGCCTCAAACTCAGCTCTTCCCACTCTGAGCCCAGCACTCCGGGGAAGCTGTGAAGGGGCATTCACACGCCCTGATCCTGGCATCCAGCCAGCCAGGAGCTGCGGGCAGAACACATGAAAAATGCTTGGAAAGAACAAAGGGACCTGATTCCCTCACACCTGTTAAAATGGCTATTATAAAAAACGACTGCGCTATGGCACTCCAGCCTGGCGACAGAGTAAGACTTTGTCTCAAAAAAAAAAAAAAAAAAAAAAAAAAAAAAAGGTAGTTTTGTATTGATCAGTTGTGCTGGGCACTGTCTGTAGCTCATCTATTTTTTGGTGTCACTAATGGCATATGAAATGACAGTTAGAGACGTCAGCTGCTCTTTGACTTGAATATACTTTCCAGAGAGCATTAAATCTACAGTGTTTCTCCTCATTTGTTAGAATCTTAAGGTAGTTGAGGGACAATGACTGCGGGCCTTGTAGTGTGTTTTCTCTATGCCAAGCACTGCTGCAGGACCCTCTGAGGCGTTACCACTCAGTTCATCTTCACAGCAGTCCCATAACACTTGCAATGCTATTTTATAGATACCCCATTTTGCAGATTAAGAAACTAAGAAACAAAAAATTAAAGTGGCTGACCTAAGGTTTCCAGCTAATAGGTGGGAAGGCTGGGATTCAAAGCGGGTAGACTGCCTCTAGTCTGCTATGATTTCTGTCTAAAGACAGATGATATCTAAAATAATTTTTAAACATATGACATCATTTTCAGCATAATTATAGATAGCAGACCCAAATAACCAGAAAAATCCAGGAAAAAGAGCCATTAATAAATACTTTCAAAGTGTGCAAAGAAGAGAAAAATCCATTTTTGCTATATAAGCTCTTACAAGGATTTTACTACTGTCAACATTTTATTGTTAGATATCAAAAAATCATTACCCCCACAACAAAACATTCACAATGATATAAAAATGGACTTTGCTCCTTAAGGAAATGCTATAAATATGCACAAGAAAGTATTTTTCTCTGAGAAATGGCAATCAGCCAATAATTCAGCATGTCACATATGAGTCTCCTCCCTTTTCCTAGAATTTAATACATGATGATTTAACAAGGCTTGTAATCAGTTCAACAAGAATGAGAAAAGAAATTTTAGAAGCCACTATTAAATCTAAAATTTTTAACTTCTACATGACAAAATAAATCATAAGAAGGTTAAAAGACAAGCTGTACATAGGGAGCAAATATTTCCAACATGCTCAGTAAGAGAAGATTGCTAACCAGAAATGATAAAGAACTCCTACAAATCAGTAAGACGAGCAACTAGAAAGAAAGCAGCATAATTAATAGGTTCAAGGATTTCACTGAAAAGGAAATTCAAATGGCCAATGAACATGGAAGGATGTTGAACTTCACTAGCAATCAGGGAAACTCCAAATAGAACCACAATAAGCTACTTACTTCAGATGGACAAAATTTTTAAGTTGTTTGGTATCAGATGTTTCTCTCAGTGTGGGGAAATGAGCGTGTTCATATGCTGCTGGTGGGTGTCCAAGCCGGAAGTGCTTCGCAAGTACCTGGTAATATCAAAGATGAGTGAAGCCTATAATCTTAACATTATCTGCGCAGAGAAATATTTGCACAGACGCACTGGGGGATATGTACGAGGACATTCACTGTAACATGATGGGAAATAATGAAAAACTGACACAACCTAAATATCCGCCAGCAAGAAATGAATAAACTGTGGTGTGTGCCTAGAAATTAATAATTATAGAATGACTCTGGATGTAAATCTATCAAAATGCACACAGCTCAGAAATGACAAGTGGAAAGATGGTGCACAACAACACACAGTGTGATATCATTTATAGAAATGTTTTCTAAAAAATTCCCACATCAACAATATCATGTACTTTTAAGTATATGTGAATATACATGTAAAAGTTTACAAAATGCACTGAAAGCATACACACCAAGTTCAGAATAGTATCTATTTCTAGAGAACAAGGAGAGTTACTGTGATTAAAGTGATAGACAAGGTGGGGGAGGGTTAAGTCAATAATATGCTTTTTTTTTAAAAAAAGGGGAGAATTAATTCACATAGTTTAAAAAATATTATATACAAAGGAAAAAAGACTGACTCAAATATGACCGTGATTAATTCCTGTTGGTGAAGATTTCTTGGATTGTTCTTTCCTCTTCTTTTTAAAAAAGTTTTATAAATTTAAAATTTTCCAAAATAAAAAAGTACAATAAAAAATCAATAGAAATAGAACTTGTAAATTTCAGCTAAATCTGCAATGTCATGCCCTACTTCTTATGATTAGATTTTCTTTATTTTTATCTTACACACCTATGCCCCTAAGTAAGGACAAATTAGAGTCAGAACACTTTGGTTGTCCTCTATTTCTTTCAATAAAAAGGAACATAATGTATTTGGAAAACTGTTTTTGGTCTGACAGTGCTTTGAAATTAGAGAGGCATATGTTTCATAGATTATGGATGGCACCATTTAGAAGACTTCACATTCATGGGTGGCAGCCAGAATCCCATAAAGATGTTGTATCTTTGGATTTAAATAACAGTTGCAACTAAGAGTTAAATAACTGTGCCACTCTTCTGGTCATATTTAAAAAGCATAATAGTATAGTGGTTTAGAGCTGAGCTGTTTAATACAGTCACAATGTGTTCTCATTTAAATTGAAATGAATTAAAACTAAATACAATTTAAACTGAGTTTGTGGCTGACAATGTGTTCTCATTTAAATTGAAATGAATTAAACTAAATACAATTAAAAACAGAGTTCACGGTCAGGCACAGTAGCTCACATCTGTAATTCCAGCACTTTAGAAGGCTGAAGAGGGCTGATAAACTTGACATTGGGAGTTCAAGACCAGCCTGGCCAACATGGTGAAACCCTGTCTCTACTAAAAATACACACACAAAGAAAAAAAATAGCTGAATATGGTGGTGCATAGCTGTAATCTCAGCTACCTGGGAGGCTGAGGCATGAGAATCACTTGAGCCTGGGAGGCGGAGGTTGCAGTGAGCTAAGATAGTGCCGCTGCACTCCAGCCTGAGCAACAGAGCAAGACTTTGTTTTTTAAAAAAAATGTTCCTCAGTTGAACTAGCCACATGTCAAATCCTCAGTAGCTATTTGTGGCTAGAGGTGACCATATTGGACAGCACAGATATAGAACGTTTCTTTCATCACTGAAAGTTCTATTGGACAGCACTGGCTTAAAGCCTGGAGTCTAGAGGCAAGCTCCCTGGATCCTGGTCCCAACTCTACCACTTGTGAACTACCTGGTTGAAAGCAATTTTCAAATCCATGTGTCTCAATGGCTTCATCTCTAATATCAGGAAAATTGTGAAACCATTCTTACTGGGTTGTTGTAGGGATTAAAGGACTTAATTGGCATATACAAAGCTTATATTAACAAAATAAACATCATATAAACCACAAGCGCTGATTATATCTGCCAGGTGTCTACCTGATGGAAGGAAGTACCATACAGCCCTCATCATCTCTTACTTCCAAGGCCATCAACACATGGCAGAGGAAGAAGCAATGGTCTGGTCATGGTGAGAAGATCCTTGCTCTTCTGGGCCTGATGGCTCCTGTACTGAGAACAAACCACAGGGCCCAGAGCGGGGGAGACAGAGACAACGGTGAGGAGGCCACTGTAATAATCTTAGCAGCAGGTGATGTCCCTGGGCCATGATGGTGGCTGGGCCACTGAGAAGCGGTCAGGTTTTGGAGTTGAAGTTATATCCTGACGGACCAGCTGTGGCATATGAGAGAGAGGAGTGAGAATCTGCAGGTTATCTATTCAACTCTTGTTCACTGTCCTTATTTAGTACTTAGAGCCAGAAGCCCAATACAAAGACTTGCATTTGTCACTACGAAGTCGTTGCCAGGATATGCCAAGTAAGAATGACACAGAGGAGAAAAGTATGTCAACATATTTTCTTATATAAAAAGGGAAGTGATAAATCATATATTTAAATGGTTACGTACAGGAAAAGAGAGGGAAGTGAGGGGATGCTAGACTTCGAATAGCTCGTTTTGTGGTTTCGACTTTGCAATCATGTAAATATTTTTATAATGATAAAATTATGTTTAAAAAGAAATTATTAAAAATTTAAAGAAAAAGCAAGTGAGCCCAACTATATAAACAGTTGGTGGTATAGCTACACACAGAGGAACTACTCTAAGTAATTCTATAACATGATAATTTGACAGTACATCCTTGGTGGGATATATTTGAAAGACAAAGAAAAAACTGAACTCTTTTCACCAGCCATATTGTTATCACAATTTCTGTATAATTACTCTGAGGGTGATTGTGTGTCATGTGGGATACAGCAAATCAGTAATTACACGGAAGTTATTTACAATCAGGATTTTCAGCGTAGGAGAAGGGATATGTTTACAGGTGTGATGTCCATGAAGTGAAGTAAAAACAAGGTTGTCCTGAATTTGAATTGGACATGTCAGATTGGATTAATCTTTTTGTTTAAAACTTTGTGTTTTCTTTGTCCACTGTCAATAATAACCAGCCCAGAAGCAATGAGCACACTTACCGCTCAGAATGTGGTCTCTAAATAACAGTTCCCATTGAAGAAACCAGGAATCCTAAGAGAAATGGCTGATTCCCGGTCTGGGGTAGGATACATACAAGATGCACCTGGAACATACCAGAAAGCAAGGAAGCTATCAAAGACAATTAGGGCCATGTCAGAAGTAGTCCAGAGCTGACTTGATTGGGCTCCAACTGGTCAAAGACTGAACAATTTAAATATTGATAAATATGATAACTGCAATCACCATATAAAACATATTTGACACACGAACTCTTAATAATATTAATTATAAAATTAACAAGTACACATTCATTCATCACCTTTGGAAGATGCCAGGAAACTCCACATTATTTGAAAACTGGTACGTATAGGGAAAAATAAAGCACATATCCTACCTATTTTGTCTGAACTATACCCCAAGGGAGCCAAATGAAGGAAGAGGAAAATTTTCTCTTTACAGAACACTTAAGTTGACGAATGAGAAAAATGATAGAATATTTGTTACAGGTTGCTGTTTTTACAAAATGTAATTAATGAACATATATAGGCAATAATCATCAATAGCTGTTAATGTCACAAAAATAAAGATTACAAGACATTATGAACTTTCTGATGGAGGTATAAAATACTATGAAACAATCTTGCTGTCCCCTTCCAAAGGCAACAAAACAAGGAAACCCCTGTGTCTGATAAAGCCAATTCCCAGCAAATAGAGGAGACACAGAAACAGGTTTACAGCACTGGAAAGAAGCAATCAGAGAATTTCTGACACTTTATAAAACAAACATCCAGGTTTCTTTAACACAGTAACAATGCTAATAACAACTAAAATAGGAAAATGAGTGAGGGAGAAAGAGGGAAGGGCAAAGAGGGGAGAGGAGGGGCAGGGGAGACACGATGGGGGATTTAAAGAGACTTAAGGAACATAGCAATGAATCAATATACACGAACAATTTAGATCCCAATTCAAACAAACAAACAACAAAAAATAAAATAATTGGAAAAAAGAAGACAAGCAGGAAACTGTAAACACTAAATGTATACCTGGTGATATAAAGCCATATTATTAATTTTTCATTAGTTCTTCATTAATATTTTTAGGTGTGGTATTATATGGGGTTTTTTGTTTTGTTTTTGAGATGGAGTCCCACTCTGTCACCCAGGCTGGACTGCAGTGGCGTGATCTTGGCTCACCACAACCTCTGCCTCCTGGGTTCAAGAGATTCTTCTGCCTCAACCTTTCGAGTAGCTGGGATTACAAGCACCCACCACCATGCCCGATTAATTTTTTTGTATTTTTGAGTAGAGATGAGGTTTGACCATGTTGGCCAGGCTGGTCTCAAACTCCTGACCTCAGGTGATCCACCTACCTTGGCCTCCCAAAGTGCTGGGATTACAGGTGTGAGCCACCCGGCCCAGCCTATGGTTATGTTTTTTAAAGAGTCTTTTTATTTTTGAGATGGGGCTGGAATATTTACAGATGAAATTATGAAATGTCTTGGATTTGTTTCCAAATAATTCACTATGTGTGTAAGGGTGGGCAGGGGGAAGAGGCAGGTAAGAGTATAAAGAAAAAAAATGGACTCAGGAGTTGATAGTTATTGAAGTCAGATAACGGTATGTAAATATTTTTCCTTATAATTTTGTTCCTGCTGTGGTAACTGCCTACTCTGATTAGGATTCCTCCTGGATCCCTCCCCTCCTCTCTCACCCGCACATCCAATCCTTCGGCAGGTCCAGAAAACTCAACATTTAGAGCATGTCCTAGGCCTTCTCCACTCCCTTCTGTCAGCTGCTACCCTAGCCTCAGTTGGACCATATCGGTAACCTCTAACCAGACTTCCTGCCCCATTCCTGTCACAAGGAACAAAGCAAGTGTAAAGGGAATAACTTCATTTGAACTTGAAGGGTGAGAAGTTTGCCAAATCATCTGGGGTGGAGGCATTCCAGGCAGGGGGACATGATGGTGTCTATCAGCACCACGTGGTTGGTATGGAGAGGGCAAGCAGCTCCATGTGACTAGAGTTCAAGAAGCAATGAGACATAAGGCTGGACAGCAAGACACAGGATGAGGAACAAAATGCCACGTTATGTTTCCCTGTTAATCCAAGGACAATAGCCAGTCATTGGGGAATTATCTACAGAAACTGACGTGGTAAGATTGGCACATTCAAGAAAGAGCTCTGGGGGCAATTCAGGGGAGGTTGGGTTGGAGGTTCCTGAATTTGGAACTCAGAGGCCAATTAGCAGATTACTGCAATCCTTCAGGCGAGACAAAATAAGTGACTGCACTAGCATGATGGCAGCAGGAATGGAGGTGGGCAAGATATTTGTTTGGCAAATCAGTGGGATTTGGTGGTTGATAGGCTGTGCCATCAGCAAGCCAGGAATCTAGCTCTTGGTGGGTTGTAGAGTCATGAACTGGGGTATTGCAATGAGAAAGAGATCAGAGTTTTTAGGGGAAGGCATATAATGAGTTAAGTACTGCATATATTGGTTGGTAGGAAATCCGGGTGGAGGTGTCCAGCAGGCAGCTGAGTATTTGAGTCAGGCTGAGGACGAGGATCTACATGACAAACATTTATTTTTATACACAGCATGTAGTCCAAAGGAAGATATTAAAAGAAACTGATTTTAGCAAATTCCACAGCAGAACTGCAACAACAAAAAAGCAATTTTAAGTCGTAAGTGTGGAAGCACTTGAATAGTTTTAAAAGTAGGCACCTGAGCTAGTGTTTTAACAATCTTTCAACTTCCTTCACACCTTCTTTACTCTGTTCCTACTTTCTGTTCTCTCTCTTCCTTCTTTCCCCTCTTTATGCATTTTATTTTTTATTATTTTATATTTCATTTATGATTTTATTTACTTTTAAGAGATGAAGTCTCATTCTGTTACCCAGGCTGGAGTGCAGTGTTTTGATCGAAGCTCACTGCAGCCAAGTGCTCCTGGGCTTAAGTGATCCTCCCACCTCAGCCTCCCGAATAGCTGGGACCATGACAGGCTAGCTCTTGTATTTTCTGTAGAAACAGGGCCTTGTTATGTTGCCCAGGCTGGTCTTGAACTACTGGCCTCAAGTGATCCTCTTGCCTTGGCCTCCCAAAGTGCTGGGATTAAAGGCCTGAGCCACCAGACCTCTTTCTGTATTTAAGATAATATTTATGGAAGAGTTTACCATGTACCAGATGTGGTGCAGCAGACATAACGATGAATAAAACCTGGATCCGAATACAATGGATTTGGCATATGCCCTCACGGACTTCAGTCGTATAGGAAAGACAGACATTAAACAAATGCTCAAAAATAATTGCTTAATTATCGACTGCTGGAAATCTGAAGGACAGGTGCATGGCAAAGCTATCCACACACGGGACCTTAAGGAAGGTTTCACTCATAAAGTGTTGATTTAACAGAGAATGATGAATAGGAAATTTTACTAATTGAAGGGGATTGGAAGAGCCTTCCAGGTAGACTTAGCATGTGCAAGAGCCCAGGGGCAGGGGAAAGCAACTGAGAACCGGAAGAAGGCCAATGGGACTTGGGGGTTGGAGACAAAGGGGAACTTATTATAAATGAGTTAGAGAGGCAAGTGGGGTCAGCCCACGCAAGACCTTCTAGGCTCTAGGAAGTGTTGTCTTTCTTGAATGGTAAATAGGAAGCTATTGAACAATTTTAAGTAAGGAGTTATACAATCAGATTTGCATTTTAAAAATGTAACTCTGCTGTGTAAAGAACTGATGGGAGGCCTTCAGAATGGATGATGGGAAACCAACTGCGGTAACCTAGGAGAGATGATGGAGTCATTCCACAGTGTGAGTGTGTGTGTGTGTGTGTGTGTGTGTGTGTGTGTGTGTGTGTTTGAGATGGAGTCTTTCTCTGTTGCGCAGGCTGGAGCGCAGTGGTGCGATCTCAGCTCACTGCAACCTCTACCTCCCTGTTTTATGTAATTCTCCACCTCAGCCTCCCGAGTAGCTGGGACTACAGGCGTGTGCCGCCACACCCAGCTAATTTTTTGTATTATTAGTAGGGATGGGGTTTCACCATCTTGGCCGGGCTGGTCTTGAATTCCTGACCTCGTGATCCATCCACCTCGGCCCCCCAAAGCGCTGTGATTACAGGTGTGTGTCACCACATCCGGCTGTGTGTGTGTGTGTGTGTGTTTAAGGAGGTAACATCTGTGGTGAATAGGCTATGGGTGAGAGAGCCGGCTGCCAAGGGTGGGCATTTGTATTCGTCCAGCATGGATATTTGCCATAGTTGTAATGAAGACAGAGGTTTGGGGTCTTGTAGGAAAGCTATGGAAAAGAAGGATGGAGGAACTCAGTCAAATGGCTATTTGTGTCATCCTGGAACAACTTCCTTGCCCTCCAGGAACTTCGAATCTGCTCAGATGAGCCTGGTACACAAAAGCCAGCTCATTAACACTACTTGCGATCAGAAGAGCACAGGCTATTATGAGGGATACTGACACCATGTGATCCAGGAGTCAAGAGAAGAGCCAGGGTGGGCCAGGTCAGGGAGTTCTTTCTGAAAGACAAAGCACAGAAAAGCAGCTTTCAAAATCCTTGCAACACATCCCTAAAATCCATATAGAAAACTGTGTTTGGTGCAACACTGGAAACAAGCATTTCTTATGCTCACATTAAATATCAATTATATTCATTTCATGACACTCTAACAAAAGCATATATATTCTGCTCTTGGCAAAGAATTGGTGTCTACAAATGTCAAAAATCATACCTAGAAATTTCAGATATTTATTATTAGTTGATTCCTTCACCTTTAAAAAATATAAGACAGCAAGTTCCTATTTTAGCAGGAGAGTGGTAAATCAGAAATGAACAATTAATCCTTAAGTAAACAGAAGTGGCTCTGGAGTCCCCTGGAAGTGGCTGTCCTGGGACACCACCCAAGTTTCCAGCTTTGCAAATGGGTTTTGTTCTCCCAGACTGAGACACGGTGTACTTTCTGTCTTGGGCTTGAAGACCCACGGGCTGCCTGGACCTTGAAGGAGAAGTAAATACTGTTCCAAGACCACATCCTCAGCCATCCCTGAGGACACACTTGTAATCATGTGGTTAGAAAAATCTTTTTCTGCCGTATTGTTAATATTGAGGGGGGACCAAGGGAAGTGGGCACACAGAAAGGGTGACTTTTGCCCTTTCCTGTGTCCTTCTCCATCATTTGCATCTAAAAAATAATTCTATTATTGTAATTTTTAAAAAGGAGAAATGGATATTCTTTTACCTAAATAACACATGATTACAATTCTCATAGTTAGGGTTTATGAGAAAACAATGTTTCCATATTCTGTAATGGAACCCAACATCCATGCAAAGACAAAGGATGAAGCTTTCTCTTCAGTATGCTTTTTCAAAGTAAATGGTTATTTTAGCACAAGTTACCAGATGCTTTGAAAGGATCAGGGGTTACAGTGCCTGAATCCTTGGGGAGACCCACAGCTGCTAGTAATTGTATGGGGTTCAATTTCATGACCATTCTTCCATGTGCCTTATTTAGGAGGGTAGATATTAATGAAGAGGAGGCAGAGATGAGCAGCAGGGAATCTCGTGTGCTGACACAAATCCTGGAGAATTTCTACACGGAGACTTGCAAAGAGAGATTCTTGACACTGTGTTTGTGCAGGTCACATGCCACATCCTCTTTTCCCAAGCCCAGGAAGGAAAACCATGACTTTTTGGCTGGCATTTGCTAACCTTTAATGGTACAAATTGTTGAGCCATATGATAGAGCATTCTAAACAGCAAATGAGGGGGGGAAATAGCAGTTTGTTAAATTCAATAGGAGAAGGACACTTTGAGATCACATCGATCTTCTGGGCTCAGGTTCTTAAAATGTGAAGTGACATCCCCAAAGGAGATATTGAATAAAGTGAATAGAAAAATGTTAGTGACATATTGATAAAGTCTCATAGGCAGCTTGTCTTCTACTTGGTCCTCCAGATCCACTCTCTGCCCCTCTACAACATGCTCTGTGCTCATTTAGAGGACTAAGGGCTCCCTGGCCCTCTGGCTTCCACACAGGGCTTTTGAAAAGCCCCCGTAGGGGACCGTAGGGAAGGAAGAAAGAATTGGAGTACTTAACTCCCTACTGAGGAGTTGCCCTGGCTGGCTGTGTCTTTCTAATGCAGTCTTGGCTCCTGCCAGGGACCTCTCCACACATAAAACCTTGTGTTTGTCTCCAGGTCTGGTAAGCACCCTTCCCCTTGCCTCTTCAGGCCTGGGGTGGTAAAAGCTCTCCAGTGCTACTGGCCCTGGAGTGCAGCTGTTCCTGGTGGCTTCCCTGCATCCTGCCCATCCTTTGTAAATGTTCGCTTTATTCAATTATCCTCCAGTCACTCAATTTGAGTATGCCATGGTTTTCCTGCTAAGTCTCAGACATACCATTAAAGGAAGCTCTTAACCAGGGTTCTGGTGTTCTGAAAGTTCTAGTGGACATCTGTCATTCTTTTTGCACCTTCTATCACCCTTGCCCCTCATCTGCAGCGCCACCCAGTAACTGAGCTGAATCTGGGGATTTCTCACCTCATGAGTTTGTTTGCATGAATTTATCAGTGGGGTAGGGACAGGATCTCACTCTGTTGCCCAGGCTGGAGTGCAGTGGCACCATCACAGCTCACTGCAGCCTTGACCTTCTGGGCTCAAGTGATCCTCCTGCTTCAGCCTCCCCAGTAGCTCGGACCACAGGTGCACACCACCATGCCTGGATAATTTTTGTACTTTTTTCTTTCAGTAGAAATGGGGGTCTCACTGTGTTGTCCATGCTGGTCTTGAAATCCTGGCCGTAAGTGATCCCCTTGCTTCGGCCTCCCAAAGTGCTGGGATTACAGGTGTGAGCCACCATGGCCATGCCCAGTACCTCATGAGTATTGATGGGGGGCAGCGACCAACAACTCCACAGAAGCCAGATGCTTGCTTTCCCAGCCTCCCTTGCAGCTAGGGCTCAGACATGTGATCCAGGCTCAGTCAATCAGATAGTGTTGACTTTTGGCATGACATGGGGTGAGGAGGGGCTGTGGGGAATCCATTTGGGTTGGGGTGGCAGCTGCACTGGGAGCCACATTCCTATTCAGAGGGAGCAGCAGAGTCTGGCATCAGGCTTGGGGTATGGGAGATGCAGCCAGAGTCTGCACCCAGCAGCAGTGGGAGAATGGGTTCTCTGTGGAGAGTCTTTGTATTGCTCCTTCCTCTGGGGCCACCAACATCTGTCTCCATGAACCTCTCAGAGCCTGTAAGCAACTCAACAGCCTTGAATTCTTTCCCTTCCTGCCTTAATGAGCTAAGGTTGTTTTACTACTTGAAACAAAGAGCCATGACTGATATAAAAACCAAGCCACATCTTTTTGACCCAAAGATTCTGGCATCCTCAAATACTCATCTCATTTGAAGTTAAAAATAAATCCATGTTTGAGCATCTACTCTGTTTCAGTTACTGTGCCAGGTGTTAAAAAGCTAACTAAGAGTGACAAGTAAATAACTATCATCGCCATGATAAACAGAGAATGGAATCTTGGTTTTAGAAATACGAATACAAAATGACTAATTCTGCCTGGAAGGGGCTGGAACATTTCAAAGAGGTAGTGAGCTGGGCCAGTGGAAGAGCATAGGCAAGGAATAGTGGTGTGAAGTTGCCTGGCATGTTGAGAGAAGAGAGACGGGCTCAGAAGGATTGCGGTAGGGCAGAGAGGGGGTCACTGAAGGTGAGGCTGGGAAAGTGAGCCGCCAAGGCTCAAATGCAAACGGAACTTAATTTTCTGTGCAAGCAGGAGAAGCCACTGACATGGGTTTGGAAGATGGATTGAAGGTTGGGTGGGGGGAATGGAAGCAAGAAACCCTCTCTCAAGAGGCTATCTACCCACAGCCAAGGCCATGAGATTGAAAATGAAGGCAGATATTTGAGAAATAGTTAAAGAGACATGAGGGGTTGCTGCCCTGTGGGTGTAGAGAGCTGAGGAGAATTCAAAGATGATCCTCATGTCCCAGCTGGAAGAAGCAGGCGGTGGCAATGTTTCTAATATAGGCAACTCATCACATAGCACAGGTTTGGGGCGGAGAGAGAAAAATGACATGGGCTTTAGGCATGCCCAGATCTTTCCTCATTTAGGCATTTACTAATACATGCATTTTCTAAGCTGATACCTTGCATTTAATCACTGGTCCATCCAGAAGAGAGAATGAGGTTGCTTTAAACCTGGTTGCTATCATTTGACTTCCTTGCTATTTCACAGGGCTATTTTATTTGCTACCGGTATACCAAAGCCGTAAACTGCACAGTCATCCAGGATATTGTTGGTTGGAACATATAATTCTTCGGAAGGGCTAAAAGTCAGTTCTTTACATTCTCTCCATATGAACCTTCTCTCCACCCTAGGGTTGATCCACTTATTTAGTCCACTGCCAGTACCACACTAGAACCCGGGCAATCACTGGACTTCAGGAACAATACTAGCCGTCTCTGTTCTGTCTGCTGTTGACTAGCCCTGCTCCATTCCTGACCCTGATTTCTCCTGCCAACCTCAATTTTTTGAGAGCTGATGGCAAGCCATGGCTTCCCAAAACATTATTTTTAGGTCAACTTATAAATTTCAAGAACATATTTGGCTCCGCTTCCTGAGATACTAAGCCTACTTCTTGACAGCATTTGCCTTTGTTGTAAATAGAAAAGTTCTTCTAGCTGAAGTATGTGGATGTGGTGTCTGATGACATCTTTAGCTTGGATTCAAAAAGGCACTACCACTGTGCATTTGGCTAAAGGGAACACATGCTACCCATGAATGCCTTCCATTTACAAATGCTCAGCTAGCACACAAAGCTAAGGCAATGCAATAAGTACTATCCTACAATGTTACTCATTTCTGAAAGCACAAAATGATGACTGGTATAGCTTTGGAGATGTTTTCTGGAAACCAAATACAGGAACAGCTTTGTTATTCCACACCTACAGCGTCAGAAGAGGCACAGTCTTTTATTCATGTTTGAACATCCTTCCTTCTTGAACAATCATCTACAAAGTGAAATGATTCTCTACTAGACCAGGAGCAATTTGAGGACAGAATCAGTTTCTAATCCATATTCTAAATCCACACTACCTGGCACAATGCATGTTACATGTTAGGGTCAAATAAGAGTTGGTTGAATTAACCAATAATACACAACAAGGGAATTCATAAAGAGAGGGGAGTAATTCCCTCAGCTTCAGTCACTGGGCAAGTGGAATTGCTTGGGTACTGGTCGTGCCTAAGACAGAGCTGGCGACTATTGTACTGTGACGCAAACATTTCAAATGAACAGGAAACTAGACTCACGGATAAGCAGTGTAGTCTTCAAGACAACACCGTCTTGGAGTTATAACCATGCTACATAAGCAATAAATTATGAAGGCTGAGCATGTGAATAAAATTTAATGTTGTCATAAATTTTACAACAAAGTTAAGCTGACACATTTAATGACATGCGTATCATTAGTGTGCAGCATTGTAATCAGACATTGATAATGAGCAGTTCACACCAGTGACTGTAAGTGTCTTTACTTGTGTTCAGCCAAACCAACCGCTTGGTATTATTTTCTCCCTTCTTCGTCATTAGTTTCCATACCTACAATAACCATCAGTGGTGCATCCAAGCTCCCTGAATACCAGCCTGCTGCAGGTAGCAGAGAGCTGCACTATAAGCCCAGGCTGCTCCCAAGAGCCGCTCCATCTGCACTGGGGCCCCACAGAGATGAAGGAATGCAATCACCGGAAGGATGGAGAATGTTCTCTGTATCACCGTCAAGTCGGAAGGAGTGGAGGGCAAGAGTCCACCTGGTTCAAGTGGAGACAGGGAAAGAGCGAGAGAGCCTGGGCTGAGAAGGCCATTGCTCAAAAAAGGCAGCTCCAAATGCCAAATCTACAGCAATTGTACAGCCCAAACATCTCTGAGCAATAGGTCTCTGGTTCTCTTGATGTCTAGACCAACAATTCCCAGTTTGTTATTCTCAGGGAAGAAGCCAAGATATCCAGAGACTCTCATTCTGCTATTAAATTCTAATCTGAATTACATTAAAATGATTAGGCCAAACAGCCTTGGCGAAATCAGGAAGGCACATTCACACTAAAGTGAAAATGACTCACAGCTCTTTTGCTATTTTTGGGGTGGGGAGGTGCTTTAGAACATAAGGGGAACTAAAGAATATTCCCGTTAAATACAAGGCCGAGAAAAGGGAAACTAGTGGTGACCGAGACAAATCATCTCTTTTACACTTGGCCTGCTCTACCTATTACAACTCCGGGGTGAGGTGGGAACAAAAAGATGCTGTGTATCGAAGCATCTTATGCCATCCTGCTGTAGTGGGGTGCAGTTTGGAGGGGTCACTGATCAAGCAGAGACCCACAGAGTGTTTTGTTCCAAGCTAGAAACAGAAATGCATAAAATACATCCTTTCCAGCATCAGCAGGGAACCGAGTAGTGGTAGTGGAGACCTATTCCAAACAAGAAAGAGGACCACGAGAGGTAGAGTGCCAAGACCCTACATCCCAGTGCCACTGCTCATGACTATAATTTTGGGTAGGTCACTTAAAGTCTCTGGACTTCAGTTTTGCCATCTGTGAAATGGGGATAATACTATCCATCATAAAACTGGTTATGAGGCTCATCACGTAGGGCATGTCTGGGACAATGCGCTGCTAATGGTTAAGAACACAGCTTCCAGGGTCTGACTGAACAGGCTGAAATCCCTGCTCAGCACGTTCCAGCAAGGCCCTGGGCGATCTATTTAACTTTTGTTTTCTTACCTGTAGGCCAAGACAAAAGTACTTACTTTGTAAGATTATCTCAATGATTAATTGTAATAATGCATGCAGAGAATGAAGCACGGTACTTGTTATTTGTTAGACTAGCTATTAAAATGTATAAAATACAGAGTACTATATGGATTTTAGGATATTACAAAGACTCTTTGCTTGCCGCAATAGTTCTGGGCCCTTTCAGATAGCTAAAGGCAGAATTCGTATAGGTAAATGTGGTGTTCTAGTCTCTGCTCTGGATACAGAGGGCTTACCCTGTTACTAAAGTTGTTTAGTAAACGTTGAACTGTCATGAGGCCTAACAGTTAGTTCTAGTTACTAGATAAAACATTTGCTTTGAATGGTATTTCAATTGCCAGGTTCCAGATTATTCTGGTTGACAAACTCTTCTTCGTATTTTACAAAGAGGCTAAAACCAGTATGCTATCACAGAACAGATGTGCCATTTTCAAGGTATATTAAACCATGATTCACTATAAAATTGCTCCTATTGGCAACAAATTCAGAGCAGACTGGACTTTATTTGGTAAAGAAACATTGAGTGGAAGAGAAAGGACATTATTTAGGTATTTTCATTTTCAAATTACTGTGGTTTAAACCTGATCAGCCATCGTTACCCATCTTTGGTCTGCTAAATAAAGGATTCAGTACATTTCTAATTTACAGAAATTTTTTTAACAAAAGAAAACTGAATTTGATGGCCAAATCAACATTAAGCATTATACACTTAAAAAACCACAGGCAAAGACACAAACATGATGGCACTAACTTTTGTTACAGTATGCTTACCTGTGGTCTCCTCTCAACCATGTTCTTTCATGTTAAGCTTCCAACATAATGTGAAAATGAAGCAGACACATTTTGCAAAGCAAAGCATACCTTAAGCAAAATATTATACATCTCAAATTAACATTGTTACAAAGTCTTAAAATTTAATAATTTTATTAGTTTAAAAGTTTGGATGTCTGAGTCCTTCTATCCCAAAACAAGATCTCTGACAGACTTCCATAGCTGTGTAATACCATGTTCACATGACCCTTTCTAAAATTACAAATCTGAATATACCATATGAGGATAAATTCCATCTTTTTGAAAACATTCAGGAAAATGAGGTTGGTATTTATAAAATGAAGCTGTCCTTGGGTGATATCCTAAGACATGTCAAGCCAATCAGCTTCTAACTGTAAAAAAAATATTGGTAGGAACAAAAGTTGGGTGGGAGAGGAGTAGCTTAACTTTCTGTTAGGTGATGGGAAAGAAACAGTAATACCATATCTCAATAAAATGGGATTTAAAAATATTTAAAATACTAACTCACTGAACTGACAAAGAAATATAAATCATTCAGAAATAAACTCATTAGGTCATCAAATCCTGTTAAATCTCCAATTGGGAAGAGCAAGGTGTACAATCCATTTATTCAAACTCATGGGCTCCCTTTGCACACCGTCAGTTTACTCCTTAGCATGTTATTAACACACATTTTCCAAAGGATGTATTAGTAAATTGTACACATCTACTTCTTGGCACCATCATACAACATATGCACTCTTCTCATAGTTAAAACGTGGATGGTATGAAAATTAAAAAAATAAATGCCTATTACTACGTCATGGTCAGGTTTAAGGCACGTGAATTTTATCTTCATACAAAAGATTAAAACCTAGATATGAAAAGGTAGTGCAGTATCAGTGACGCATTACCCCTCAGTTCCCAAAACGTCACATCACAAAAATATCCCGTAATTGCTTGTGGCTTATTCCTTGGCGTTCCTCTTTTCTCTCTGCATCTTTGTAACAATTTTTTAAAAGTGGAAATATAATTGTTGGCAATGCTAACAGCTGCAGAAATGATTACAAGGTGTGGAGAAGCTTAACGGGAACGTCAAGAATCTGTTTCTGGCAGTAATACATATGGAACATCGTTCAGGACAAAAGAGAAGAAGAAAAAAAGGAGAGGCATTTATCATCTTTAAGAATTTTCAAACTAAACCTCATTGCTTAATAGTAAAATAAAGATTCCATATTTAAAGTTAAGTCACAGCTAACTACTTGCTAAAGCATGACATCACCATCATTGGAATCAGTGGAAGTGTCTTTTTGAAGGATGGGGTTGCAGGAGAATCCGGACAGGTTTTTAGAGCCAGGGGATAGAAAATAATTCTACCTCTGTCAGTTGAAAGACCTTAGGCAAATAAGTTTACCTCTGCTGGATTACACCCCAAAGTTTGGACATTCAAAAATGTGATATTAATAACCACATGAAAGTCTCATGTTGAGGTAAATACATATTTGTTGGTGAAAGATATGTTGGTTCTTAAAAAGACCGCACTCTGCAAAAGTAGGCTATTGTTTTTTGTCAGTTGTCAAATTCTATCCAGCTATACACACCTGTGTGGCCTCCTAATGGTGTCTTTCCAATGGTTAAAGGTTTATCAATAAGACAGTTTTTCTAATGGAATTAACCCGATGCTTTTCTTAAACATGTAACCTTGAGTTCACCTCACAAAATGATGCTTTGATTAGAGCAACGTACATAATAAAGGTTACCTAATTTCTTAGACACTAGACATCATTCACAAAAAAGAGAAGTGATTTTGAAAGGAATGTACTTGCACTGGGAAGAAAAGTTTTCTAGTTCTAATGATGAATGATGTATTGGTGAAAGCAAAGGAACAGCCTGTCTTAGAGGCACTCTACGAGCTTCCTCACATGTGATTTGCAAGGCTGAAAAAGAGGGAAAAATGCCTCGACGGTGCCAATGGTGAGAAAACACCAAAACTACAAAGCAGGTTTCAAAAACTATACTCATAACCAAGGAAAATAATAAAGCAATGTGTTTACATATACTCTACAAATTTCCCTCCATAGTTTATACATTTTATAATTTCTGTAAATGCAGCCTATAATAATTTTGCATCTTGCTTTTTTTTACATTTAATATCAAATGGATTTTTAAAGGGCATTTGAAAATTAAATACTTAGGGAAATATACATCAAATGGAAAAATGCAGTGAGTGATGGAGATATCATGAAGCACCCCAAATATTCTCATCTCATTGAACAGAAACAAACATGTTCTCATTTAGAATGAGTGGGAGTAAACTGATTTAGGCCTCTATATTTAACCTCTAGGCAAAAAAGGTAGTCCCATCTAGCAACAATATTATGGGGAACAAAAGAAAAAAATAACTCTCTAAATTTGCAGTAGGGTCTTTCTTTTGGAAGTTTAAATCCCATCTATTACCAGCTCCATGCTTCAGGCCGAAAATGGATCTCCCTGAAGGAATGACAGAATTTTTGCCAAGTGACTAGGATATATACACCATTTTCTTTGCACAGTGAGACATATGCTTTAAAGAAAACTGGTTCAAAACAGGCAAGTGGGTTTCCACAAAATAAATGAGAGCCCCATCAAGGGTTTCCTCTTCAGGGCTTTGGGTCTGTGCTTGCGTGGTGGCTCTTTGTTTCATCTATGGGTAATGGCGCCACACAGTTTTTATAATTTATTACACTAATGAACTGCTATAAATTTGTTTTTGGTATTCCAGAGAGTCCTAACTTCAGCTTCTGAGCCATGCTGAGGAGGCACCCCATATTCTAGACTTACCTTTTGCAAGGTGTACTCTCAGCATTGTGGGTGATTTCCATGGGAAAATATTCTATTTAAAAAACTACTGTCCCAGCATAAAATAAAAAATCATCTATGAAGATGCAGGAGACTCGGAAAGCTTTCAGTTATGTTCGCACAAGCACAATGTCAGAGCCTCCTTTCCCCACTCCACACGGGGGTCAGGAAGAGAGTACTCAGCTGTGAGAAAAGACATACAGAAGAATTCATGTAGTCATGGGAGCAGGGGCATGGTAGATCCTCCAAAGAGGATGTGTCAGACACTTCATGAGCCCAAGTGTGCTGTAGGGTCTGACCGGCAAGATGCTGGTTCACTGATGTAAAGGAGGGAGGGAAAAAGCTTCAACCAACTAGAAAAACAGTCTCTATGCATGCTATTTTTGATTTTAAATGCAGGTATCAATTCCTTCTCTCAGAGAGTACATTTTAAAATAGGACATATTTTTAAAAATATTTAAAGGGCACATTAAAATTAAAAACTTTTCAAGACATAAAAGGTATGAATTTTCCTTAATCCTTGAGGAAAAGTTTCTTTTCTCATCCATGTAAATCATTGATTTTGTTTTTCTTTACCTCCTTTATTACTCTACATTGGAAAAATAAACTTTTCCTACACTAAGAAAAAGGAAACCACTCTCAGTTGACAAAATGTACTAATGCAACACAATGATTACCTTCACCTTTAATTTACAGGCAGCCAAATTCAAAATCCCTAAAGATTTAATTTTCCAATTAAATCTCTAGATAGAAATTTTAAAAATTAAAAATCATATTTAAGAAAAGCCAAATATTGAGTTGTGAGTTATCTTTTTAAGGATGCTTCAGCAGAACAAACAAAGGCTTTCACAATTGTGTAGCAGCCTGGATTAGGTGGGTACCCTGACCAAGGAGATGGGGATGATCTGGCTTTAGTATTCCAGTGATAAAGTTTATAATGAGAATCACATGTTGCTATGAAACCCGGTCTCTTCCTCAGACGCCTTCCACAGAAGGCAAGAAGCTTGGTCAGTTGTTTGCTGATGATACCTGGTTCCACCAACAAAAAATATCTGTCACATGGTGGGTAGTCAAAATACATTTGTTGAATATATATAGAAAAAAAGAGAAATGTATGGTATGTTTGTGAAGCTGTGTCAACTGTGTGTACACTGCTATTGAGGTACACGAAGAGTCTTTGTTTTAAATTTGAGAATGAGGACTTTCAGTGGACTATATCTATAAAAATAAATGACAGACATTATTGTCTGAAATATTGTACAGCAAGAGAAGAAAAACCACCAGAAAGAGCCAACTCACCTGATAGGCCTGGATCAAGCATGTGGTCATGAAGAACACCTTGGGACTCTAACTCTGGCACTCCTGCAAGCTGGGTACCTGGGCAGGAGGACAGCAGCAGCACTCATGAACTGGGCAGCATCTGTCAGTGAGGGTTGATTGCACGGATTCTCTCATCCCAGCCTTATAATTGGCACATCAGGTAGATACTTTTTCTGACTTTGCTGATGAGAAAACTATGCACAGAGGTCATATAGCTTAACAAAGGGCTCTCAACTAATGAACACTAAAATGGGATTTTAGCCTTTCTTTGTTTCTGGTCTTAAAGCCAGTACCCAAGAACCACTGCACTGAATATATTGTTTCAGAGAAACTTATACTTCCTGGGTCTCGGTCTTTAAAAAGTGAGCAGTTAACTTAATAAGAATTAAGGATCAATGATTAAGGTTCAAGGCACTCCAAAATTCTGATCTTTATTGAAAAGGCTATGGAAGCCTCACGTTCACAATTCCCTATCATCTTGATATTCTTGGTTCATTAAATATTGGAAACCAACTTCATAGTAATTGAGGTCAGAAAAAAGTACTCATGACATTTTAGAATGTGGTGACAAAGCCACAGATACATTTCGATGCACCTGTAATGACTTAAAACTGTTACAGCATGCAGTATGTTACCACAACAACCAAAGAAATACTAATTCACTCAGTCTGTTTTTCTAGACCAGTAAACACTAGGATTAAATAGATATTTTCATTGAATTTATTCTAGCTTTCATTGCCATTTATAGATAGCTTACTTGTCAAAGATTACTTTCTAATTGTTTTGTTTCCTAACTAGCCTGTAATACTTTGGTAAGGGCCTCAAATAATAGTAGACAGTAGGTGTAAAATCGATGGTTACCCTGAATGGATAACTAAAAGGATGCCTCGTTAGTATCTATATCTTGAAATACACTTTATTGTGCCTTGCTTTCAATCTGTGACTTTAAAATCTAGAAATCACCTATTTTATGTGATAACAATAAAATCCTTCTTTGTTGTAAACATGCGCAAATAAAGTTTACAAGCTTAAAAAATTAAATAGGAACACTTTTACACTGTTGGTGGGAGCGTAAATTAGTTCAACCATTGTGGAAGACAGTATGGTGATTTCTCAAGGGCCTAGAAACAGAAATTCCATTTGACCCAGCGATCCCATTACTGGATATATATCCAAAAGATTATACTATTATAAAGACACATGCACATGTATGTTCACTGTAGCACCCGTTTACAATAGCAAAGACTTGGAACCAACCCAAATGCCCATTGATGATAGACTGGACAGGGAAAATGTGGCACATATACACCATGGAATACTGTGCAGCCATAAAAAAACGATGAGTTCCTGTCCTTTGCAGGGACATGGATGAACCTGGAAACCATCATTCTCAGCAAACTGATACAAGAACAACAAGAACAGAAAATCAAACACCGCATGTTCTCACGCATAGACCGGTGTTGAACAATGAGAACACATGGACACAGGGAGGGGAGCATCACACACTGTGATCTGTTGGTGGGAACTTGAGGAGGGACAGTGTGGGGTAGGGAGTTGGGGAGGGACAACACGGGGAGTAATGCCAGATATAGGTTATGGGGATGGAGGCAGCAAACCACATTGCTATGAATGTACCTATGCAACAATCCTGCATATTCTTCACATGTACCCCAGAACCTAAACTAAATAGCAGTAATTGTCAAGCTTTCCAATAGCGAAACACATTTTGGTAAGGTTTTCATTTTACAAAAACTCAAAATGGCTTTATGAGTTCACAAAATAATGTGGTATTCCTCAAGATATTAGCATATTCTTACACTGTAAGAGCATTCAGGCCAGGCGTGGTGGCTCACGCCTGTAATCCCAGCACTTTGGGAGGCCGAGGCGGGTGGATCACGAGGTCAAGAGATTGAGACCATCCTGCTCAACATGGTGAAACCCCATCTCTACTAAAAATACAAAAAATTAGCTGGGCACGGTGGCGCGTGCCTGTAATCCCAGCTACTCGGGAGGCTGAGGCAGGAGAATTGCCTGAACCCAGGAGGCGGAGGTTGTGGTGAGCCGAGATGGCGCCATTGCACTCCAGCCTGGGTAACAAGAGCGAAACTCCGTCTCAAAAAAAAAAAAGAGCATTCAGTAAAATTTACTTGGAGATTGAGCATTTGTTTCTTTAAGAAATACTTCTTTCAGTATTTTTACTTTAATATTATAAAAGCTATAATTTACTTTAATATTATGAAATCTATAATTACATTCAGATCCAGTAACTATTCCAGTAGTTAATTTTTAAAACTTATGACGAATAGTTTTGTTTAAAATATGTAACTTTGGTAATATGAAAATCTGAATTTGTAATAAAGAAGAGTTTGCATTTCTGATTTTTTTCTGATACACCAGTGATGGAATAACTAATGGTTCCACAGAGGACAAAATGTCTCAAATCTGTTGGCTCCGAAGGTGAAGCGAGATTTTGTACGGATACTTTGTTCCCTGAGATGCCAGGAGGAAATGGAATTAAACTCACATAGCTCAAATGGAGAGGTTTTAATGAAGGGACAACCTTCAGAGGTGTTGGCAGGGTCAGGGGGAATCAACAAGAGATTTTTAGAACTCACGACTGGCAAACCTTCCCATGAAGATGGAGAGGCAGGAAGAAGTGTTACTGGAGTGAGAGCTTGAGCCCAGGGGAGGAGGATGGGCCACGGAGCACGAGGCACTATCCTGAAAGAATCCTCTGCCAGAAACTTTTCAGGGTCATTTCTTCACACTCTCTGCAGGGAAGCAGGGAGACAGCAGGAAGAAATATCCTGACCTTGCTCTCTTCCCTCTGCTGGTGCCTTCCATCGGCCAAATCCACCCAGAGGCCAGTTGGTGGCAGTTAGCTTCCAGGGGCAAGAGGAGGGAAGAGGAGGGCAGAGACTAGCTCAGGGGTGGGGTAGCATGTACATTGGGGGCTCAGTTGTTCAAGTACCTGTTACTGAGGCCTGATGAGGGTGGGAAGACCAAGCTCCTCTGACCGAATTTCTAAGAAATCTACCAGAAATAACATTTGGGGATTTTTTTCCACTTAATGATTTTTTTTTTTTTAAATCCTCTCTCTCAGCCCCATTTCCCATGCATTTTCCTCCCTTCAAGCTGTGTTTAAATTCCTTCTTTCATTTTCCTTCTGGTAACAAAGAAATCTGTGGTTCAAAAGACTTTTCTCTAAGACTCCATCCTGTTAGTTCTCTGAGCTGTGGGAAGTATTTATACAATTGCCAGTGAATAGAAGATCCAGGAAATTTCCTTAAGATCCCTGACAAAATTGCTGATAACTTGCCCCACATGTTAATACAGCCACTCACGGATGACAACACTTACCATTTCTTTGATAAATGCCAAATGCATTTCAAGTATATACCTGAAATAGTTGTTTAAATGCTTTCTAACCTATTCATTTTATATATGTGCATGTGTCCGTTTTGCATATCTTCTGATGATAGGACAAATGTAAATAAATCAAAGAATAATCAAAGCTACCATTTTCAAGAAGCCTTCTTTGTAGAACCAGAAGAGTCTTAAATAGGCTTGTCAGGTATGCGTCTCTTCTTATCGCTCAACACCAAGCCCTGCAGGCCAGGCATCGTGTGGGTCATCTTTACTGTAGGCCCAGGTCCTAAAACGGCGTCGGGTACATGCAGGTACTCCATAGATGTTTGCTGAATTGGCTAAACCTTGGTTTGTCCCCATAATCAACCACTGCAAACAGCACACAGATAATTACTTGTTGGAAAGATTCCAGCTAGTGTTTGATGTTACCTATGTGGTTTTCTCTCAGGAACAGCTCTGTAGGGTTACATTATTTTCTGTTTTTTTTCTTTGACCTTAATATCATCTACTTCAATAATAGCTTCATACAAAATTTCTACCAGCACATGCCACAGCAGATTCAAGGCCTTGTTTTAAAAATGGTGCCAGTAGCTCTTAATTTAGAATATATATAGTCTCTCCTGAACATGGGCTAAGAAAATGCATAATTTGGTAATAACAGAAGAGCTGAAGACACTTTAAATATATTGTTTCATTTCTATAAGATAAAAAAATTTAAGAATAAAAATGTTATCAACAGACCTGTCCTTCATTAAAAAGTAAAACTGTGTTTTCCTGCATCTTATTAAAGTGTCCAATTACAAACTATTTTGAACTGTAACTTTTAAAAATGTAAACAGCAAAAATGTTGTATTTAAAAAGAATTTGAACAGGCAAAAAAAAAAAAAAATACATCCAGAAGATAAAGGTTTTGGTGAAAGTTAAAATACTCTTTAATCTTCGGACAGCCTGGAATCATTCCTACACTTTATAGTCTAGTTTAGGCATTAATTTGAAATAATCTTGAATCTTGAAATCCTAAATCTAACACTCTTCATAACAACGTAGCCTTTCTCTTCTGCTTTATGAGCAAATGGACTAAATACCCGGGAATGGTACTGTCTGGGCTTTTGAAACAAGACTGAAAGAGATGAAATCCTGTTTGATATGTATAAACATTAGAAAATCCATTTTGAATTAATAAAAGGATAAATTCATTCTATATCCTGTGAGAAAATGGTTCCCTTTCCTAAAAATGTTCTCTCGTTCCAACAATAGAGGGTTGGTTTTTTCCAGGGTGTGGTGTGGAGAGTGTGGGGTGGACAGGGTTGCCACGAATATGGCATCTAGCAAGATTGCTGTTATATTCATTTCTCAAATTGCACTGTGGTAGGAAATTTAGAACGCAGTGAGAGAAAATAAACCTTTGACTTTAAAATAGGAGGCCACATTTAAAGCAGCAGGTAAAGTATAAACACAGTAACAGTATAAATTCTTTATCTGCAATCTTACAGTTTCCTAAATCTCTGTAACACATCACTTTAAAAGCCTCAGAGAAGTGGTTCTATAATTATTTACCAATAATTCAACCCCTCAAAAGCCTTAGCAAGTTAAACCTTATAGTCTCACATTTTAGAAATGACCCAACTTGATCCTTTTATTCTTCAGAATCTCTTTCTCAAATTTTCATTTGTTTTCATTAATTGGTAAATAATGAGAAATTTTAGGTACCTTTCCACAAAGAAATGAAATTTCCACCTTATCAGGAACCTAACAAATGAAGAGATAGAAATCAATTCCAACAGAATATTACCAAAGAAATCTTTTGGAATAGACTGTTACAATTATTTATTTATATTTATCTGGCTCTACTGTTTGAGGTACATTTCCACTTCAAAGCTAAACCTCAAATAACATCATAGTGATGCTTAGCTGTGGTCTTGAAGACCGAAAAAAAACATCTATTGTCACACATCTATTGTCTTGACTACTGTATCTGTTTTTATCACCATTCTGATAGTCTGCAATGCATTGCAGCTCTCCCTTTGGGAAGGACTAAAGGAGACATCTGCTGGTTCCGCTTGCTCGGCATCCCTGCCCTAATTTTCCTTTGGAGAACCCCTTTGTTCTAGGCCACGTGAAGCTAATGCCAAACCCCATTCCAGGGGATGCACCTGAATCCAACCTCGATCATCTAAATAGTCTCTTCTCCATGTTTAGAGAAGAGCAAGCGACTTAAACCGCCCTCGGAAGAACAGACCTGGGACTTCAGCTGCAAATATTGAAGAATATGTATTCTTCTTTCTTGCTAGGACTAAGCTGGTAGTACGTTCTACGAGGCTATCATATCAAAACAACTTGTCTGAAAATGGAGCCACAACTGTGAAACTTACCCTGGTAACCTTGATTGATAGATCCAGAGATACAGCCCTACCTTAAATGGCAGGACCTAACTTGAGGCTTTTTGCATCAACCAAATAAAGTCCTTAAGCCAGTTTAAGTTGGTTTTGTCACTTGCAGCTAGCTAAAAGAATTCGGACTCTAACGATGTGACAATAGCAAAAACGAACATGACTGCTTTTAAGGTTTCTAATGGATTTTCCTTCCTATATACAGGATTTCATTTAATCCTCACAGTTCAGAAAATCACGTGTCTATTAACATTCATTATTTTGAACACATACTATGTGGACAAGGGACAGGGAAAGCCAAAGGAGTAATCAATGTGAAATCTCACTTATATGGGAGGGAAGTGGAAGTTACTCAGGGCACTTAACAGATATCATCAAATGAAAGAATAAACAGTATGGGAGAGCCAGGAGGTGATATTTCACCAATTCCTGGATGAAAAATTAGGAGATGAACTCTGGCAGCCTAATGAGAATGGCTCAAGCAACAGGACACAGAGAGGGAGTTAGGTTAGACATGGAGTTCTTTAGAGTTTTCACCTCTGCATGGGTGCAGCTGTTGTCAGTGCGACAGGGAAAAAGGAAGGGGCTGGGTTTGCAAGGCAGGGAGGGAGGAGACTGCGAGTCAGTGAAACAGGGCCCTTAGAATGACAAGTCTGAACCAGAGAGGCTAAGACTGAAAATACGAGATGGGTAACCACTGGCATATAGATGGCAGTTCAGGCTTGGGCAATGCCCACCCGAGCGCCAGCATGAAGTGCTGAGGAGGAGGCTGGCCACCACCTCCCTCTGGGTAATTGTAACGCTGCTTGTGAGCTCCTGAAAACAGGTTCTTTCACTGCCCCCATCTCTTGCTCTTGATTGCAACCCAACATTCAGGAGGTACCCAGTAAATACCTTGGAGTGATGGAAAACGCAGCACCAGGGCACTGAGAAGCCCCCAGGGCGCCAGGGGCTGGTTCTATAAGGGTGCCCCTCACGGTCCCCTTCAGCGCGCGGCCAGAGCTGCCAGTCTTGGCCGCTACCCAGGATGCAGTCTCATTATTCAGCTCTCACCTCTTAAATTAGTTCCTGCTCTCACATTAGATGTAATCACAGCTGGCAACGCTTTCTGGGGATGTCTCAGAAAAATGTGAGTTGAAAAAAATATTTTTGTGTCATTTAAATTCAAAGTAAAATTGCTGTTTCTTGCCCGCCCCTTCCTTTCCTCCTGGCCCATCCAGCGACCCGGCAGGGCTCACAACCGAGGCAGGGGTCGGAGGAGAGATTTCCTCCATATAATTCCTTAAACAGCTATCAATGAAATCTCAAAAAAAAAAAAAAAAAAAAAGAGATCTAGAAGCATAGACGTGGCTGCTGGCGATCCCAAAGCTGGGGGACAGCGTGCTCTGGGAATGGCCAGCCGGGCCAGAGGCGAGCCCCTAGGCCGAGGGCAGGAACGCTCTGCCTGTGTCCCGCGTCTCTACAGCTCCCGAGGCTGTGCTGGCTTCACCGAGCACGCCAGGTTCAAGGTCGCCCGGCGGGGACCCGAGCGCCTAGAGTCGGTGGGCAGCGTTCTAGCCAGCCTCAGCCTGGGGTCCGGAGCCGCGCTTCTGCTTTGGACTTGACTGACAGGTCCGCCCGCCCTCCCGCTGCCAGGTTACCCGCCCGCGTTCACCCTTCAGGGCTGGTATCTCCCGCACCCGGGCTGGAACGCCTGGAGCGCGCCCTTCCTCTCCCAATCTCGGCAGCTCTCCACTCTCCCCGAAACTTGGCGAAGCTGCATTTTGACTTTCACGTTTTTGACTAGGTGTGTGTAGTTCCAAGTCCATACTTGGGGCGAAAATCCACTTAGGGTAAAAATTATTCTCAAAAAATTGCCCATAAATCTCAGGATCTGGTGTCTACACTCAAGGAAAGGCTGTGCAGGTACGTGCGAATAAAGCACGCCTTAAGGGTGCACAGTAAATAAAAAGTATGAATACAAAATGTAAATTTTAAGTGCAAAATAGAAAAGCAGTACTTGTTACCGCCCCGCACGCTGGATTTTAAGGGGCACGAAGGCTAGCCTCGGCTGCTTTTGCTCAGCCCCGCGTCCTCAGCACCCAGCTCAGTACCCGGTATTCCGTACCGGTTCAATGATCTCTCCTGAATAAGTGAACAAATGAAGAAATGAATGAAGGACCGCTGGATCTGACCCCCGCGGCCGGCGGGGCAGTCGCTGCGGGAGGCAGGAGAGAGTGAGAGGTCAAGCTCCGCCGTCGCGGCCGCCAGCTGGGGCACGGGGAGCGGAGACGCTTGGCGCCCCGACTCCGCACCGAGTCCCCGCGGCGAATGCCAGGCCAGCGGCTCCTGGGCACCACGTGCGCCTACCCGGAGCCGCGCAGGCCCCGCCCCGCCGCGCGCGCACGCGCCCAGCAACCCGGCCGCCGCGACCCTGCGCTGGCTCGCCCCGCGCGCCGGCTGCCCTCGCGCCCGCGCCCGCTGGGGGGCGCTCCTCTCCCACCCGGCGCGCCCACACGCGGGCGGGCTCATCGCAGCCCTCAGCGGTTCCACTCCCGACCCCGGCGCGTGCCGCCTCCTACCTGAGGGCCGACGAGGGGGGCGGGCGAGAGGGCCTAGGGGGCGGAACAGGATCGAGGCTCCAGGCGGGAGGCGAGAAAGCGAGCGGCCACGGCGGACCCTCCGGGCGCGGACGCGGGCGCGCGCCCGCGCTCCCCGCCCGCGCTCCCTTCTTCGACTCCCGGCCAGAGCCCAACCCTGCTGCCGCGCGCCGCCCGCCTCGCCGCGCCTAATAACAACGGCGCCCGGGGTCAGGTGGCCGCGCGCGGACAGCGCCACTATTGGCTCGGTGGGGAGCGCGGGGCGTCAGGATTGGCTGAGGGGCGTGACCACCGCCGGGGCGGGGGCGGGGCCGTGGAGGGAGGCGGGCCGGGAGGCGGCGGGGGGCGGGGCCAGGCCGCGATCCGCGCCTTTGTGCCCGGCGCGCGCTCTCCGCCCGCTCCGGCTGCGGCGCCGGCTGCATCAATAATTCAGAGCAGCGGTGGCGGCGGCAGCGGCGGGTGCGGGCAGGAGGCGGCGGCAGCAGCGGGACCGAGCAGTAGCGGCTATGCATCCAAGTGCGGCTGGGCAGCCGCGGCACCCCTGAGGCCCGGGCGGGGCTCCGGGAACACTGCGCTAAGGGGACGCTCGTCCCGGAGTGCGAGGAAGAGCAGTAGCGTCCAGAGCGGCGGCGGCGGAGCTGCGCAGGGAGCTGAGGAGGGGGCTTCGGAGCGGGACTGGGGCGGGGGGGCAGCTGGCGCAAGCAGCCCCGGGGGTGGGGGGCGGGGTGGGCGCCGGCGGCGCGATGCTGGGCGTCGTGGAGCTGCTGCTGCTGGGGGCTGCGTGGCTGGCGGGCCCGGCCCGCGGGCAGAATGAAACGGAGCCCATCGTGCTGGAGGGCAAGTGCCTGGTGGTGTGCGACTCCAACCCCACGTCGGACCCCACGGGCACAGCCCTGGGCATCTCTGTGCGCTCCGGCAGCGCCAAGGTCGCTTTCTCCGCCATCAGGAGCACCAACCACGAGCCGTCCGAGATGAGTAATCGCACCATGATCATCTACTTCGACCAGGTGAGTGCTCTGTCCTCCCGCGGCGTGCAGATTGGGCTGGTTAGGGAGGGGTGGATGGAAGACCGATGCCCGGTCCTCTCCAAGGGCTCTGCAGAGGCGCAGGGACAACAGTCCGGGACCGATTCCTGCCCGCTCCCCTTCGTTCCCGTCTCGTTGTAGGTACTAGTGAACATTGGGAACAACTTTGATTCAGAACGCAGCACTTTCATCGCCCCGCGCAAAGGGATCTACAGTTTTAACTTCCACGTGGTAAAAGTCTACAACAGACAGACCATCCAGGTCAGCTGCTGCCTCGGGCTGGGCCCTGGCCCCGTAGGGGGTAACTGGCTGTAGGGGTGCTCGGGCTGTTCGGAGGTGGAAGACAGAAGCGGCGGCTGCATGTGCTTCGGGCTGCTTGGAGGGACAAATAGCGGGGCCTCTCAGTTCTGCGGCTTCAGCTGCCCTCTGCTATCCCTGTCTCTGGCTCTTGGGATCCAGCCCCGTAACCCCCCGAGGCAGAATTTTCTGCCTCCGCCTTCTGGGAGCCTCCGAAGGGTTGCTGGACTGCAGCGACTTCCTTGTAACAGCTGTTGTTAGCGCCCCATACAGCTGCCACTTGGGGAACCTTCCGAGACTCCCCGGGAAGTACTGTCGACAGTACCCCCGATCCCTTGCCCCAGCTCGGAAGCCTAGGAGGCTGCTAGTGTGCTTGTCTTCAGCACCACGGACAGGGCACCTGTTTTCCCCACTTGCCCCCAATTCCCACCCTATGCTGATTCTGGGTTTTTGAGCTAGCAGCGTTTGGTCCTGGAGGGTGAGGGGAGGAGAGAAGAGGGAGGGAGGGGGCGTTAGTGCCACTCTCTCCCGGCTCCAGCCTTGTCCCAGCAAGCACTCGCCTGCTCTCCAGGTACCTAAAGGTGTCCAGATTTCCCTTGGGCGCCCAGAGAAGCGGGACACACAGCTGGGGAGAGGGCGCAGGCCCTTGGCTGACGCTGCCACCACAAGGGCAAAACCAGGCAGTGGCGGGCGCGGTTGGATGGGGGCGGGAATTGAGCCCGTGGTTTGGAGAGGAAATACGGAGTGCCGCTGGGAGCGAAATTTCTAATCAGAAATCACAGTGTCTTCTCCACTGTGTCCTGATAACTGGGACCAGGCGGGATCAGGGGCTTTTTGTTTGTTCATTTTTGTTTTTTCGGGAGCGCTGGAGGGACCTCGAGTTGCTGGGTGTTTTTGTTTGTTGTTTGTTTTTTGAGGCTGAGGGGAAACCGGAGAGAGGTCAAAGGTCTCAGGTCGCTAGAGCCACCTCACGGGTTTATTAAATTGGATCATAGAGCACAGTCCAGATTCACTTGGAGCGCTCATTTGAGAATCTGGAATAAGAGCAACTCCCGTTTTGGGAACAGATCCTTCCTCTCACCCAGGTGTTAGGTCTTTCGCCTCACTGGAGCCTCAGCAGTAAGCTGCAAAGCCCCTTTCCTCCTTTCGTCCCCCTACCCCTCCATGCTTCCAGGCCTTACAGGATGTTAGCCGAGTGCGGGGAGGTTCACTCCACCGCAGCTTCGGTGCCTGCCTAGGTTGCGCCTCTGAATCGGGCCTTTCTCTTTCTCAGGTGAGCCTCATGCTAAACGGGTGGCCAGTGATTTCAGCCTTCGCTGGTGATCAGGACGTGACCCGGGAGGCCGCCAGCAACGGAGTCCTAATCCAAATGGAGAAAGGCGACCGAGCATACCTCAAGCTAGAGCGGGGAAACTTGATGGGGGGCTGGAAGTACTCGACCTTCTCTGGATTCCTCGTGTTTCCTCTCTGACTGGCTCATAGCCGGAAGGGAGGCAGGGAGAGGGCGAAGCCAGGAAGGGGAGTGAGAAAGAGGCTGAAATTAAGAGGGCGAGAAAGCAGCACGACTTGAAACTTCCTACAGGTTCCCTAACTGTATCTGAGTAAAAAGGTGCAAGCCCGGCGGTGGGACAACTTTGTCCATTTCCTTATTAGGAGAAATAAATTCCGCTTAGCTCTGCGCACTCCCATTTCCAAAAATAAACTAGCCTCCCCATGCCAGTTACAGTAATCAAGAAAGAGACTGCCTTGTCATTGTTTCTTATCCCCAACTTCATGTTCCCTGCAAATTATTTAAAGAAACTATGTATTTCGCTACATAATCTGAAATCTTTCTCCCAAGCCCCCTCTGAATTCTTCTACCTACTGAAATCTAATATATTCCCCACCCCCAACCGTTTTTTCCATTTGGAGAGGGGGTAAGTTTTTTATTTATTTATTTATTATTTGGATGGGGGAGGTAGTTTTAATTTGGCAAGTGTTGCTCTTCTTAAAACACCGCTCAAGTTAATTAGCTGAAGATACTTTGAATCCTCGGCTACTTGTTAGCAGAGAAAGGACTCACCCTTAGTGGTGACTGGTTTAAAAATATGAATATATATCATTTGTACACGAAGAACTCTTCCCAGTGGAAACTGGCTGTGTTTCCGTATTTCTATGTCCTATTCGGAGTGATCGTGAAATCTAAGGCTGCTTGATGTTCTGATGCTTGTCAATGCCGTCGTGCTCTGTGGCTCCATGAAACGCCACGGAGCTTCTTCCGGACGCTTCCTCTTCCTCTGTAACATACGTGTGAATAGCCAAGATTTAATTTTGCTTTAATCCAATAAAGTCGAAGTGGGACTTTTATTTTTCTGAAATAGCTTTCTAAACTCGGCATCTTCTCCAGCTGCGAGGTTGGGGGTCGGGGGTGCCTGAGGGCGAGGTTCGGAGGGGCAGGAGACTTCGGGGAACGCAACCAGAGAAAGGCCTGGGCGCGAGGGCTTCATCTCAGAGCCGGCCTTGCGCTCCTTCCTGCGCCAGGCCGGGGCCAGCACTGTATTCGCCTGTGTTCACAGCTTTGGGGCAAAAGAAATGTGGCGGAAATCCTGCTAGGCCAGTTGCGGCCGCCCGCCCGGGAGCGAAGTTTGATTTTTTTCTTTGCGTTCCAAATGCATCAGGAATAGTTCCAGTTTGAGGACCCAAACCATCCTGCCTGGAGCGGCAGACGCCACACGCCTTCTGTCCCTGGATGTCTCCCACGGTGTCTGCCCGGCAGTTCCCGAAGCAGCATAAGTTTTATATACCGCCTCTGAATCCGGAGTCCACCCGCCGCATACTCTGGCGCCCAGGACCTATGAATCTGCTCATTCACAGGACTTCATTCAAGAGGTTCGTCCAGGAGTCTTGATTGTATCGGAACATAATGTGAAAGCAAAATTGAAATAAACGACTTCGTTTTAAGGCTGACCCAGTTGCTTCAGCAGCGGGGAGGTCGGGAGCAGCCTAGAGCCAAGGGCGGGGAGCTGGGAGCTGCAGCCGGGTGGGTCCCTGCAGTTGTGGTTCATTTCAGAGAAACTTTTTCCTGGCTCAGTATTCAGGAATGAATTTAATTTTCTCCAGGGGCGTGGGGAGAAGGGAGAGTTAATAATAGAAAAATAAGCAACGTTTCTCGGATGGATGTATCCCAGTGGCTCCTTCGAGTTAGAAATTCACGGAGCACAGGGCCTCTGTTGAAACCCGGGCTCGCTCTTCTCCGCGTGCAATCGGGAGAGCCTCGGAGCAGCTCTTGCGGGAGCCCTCGCAGCCCAGTGGCTCCGGGTCCGCTCCTATCTCTGGTAGGGACTTCGCCCGGCAAGGAGTGGACCCAGTACTTTTCTGTTTCGGTCCAATAGTTTCCCTTCTACCCTGTCAGGCCCCAGGGAAGTGGGAATGAGAAAGAATAAAGGGCCTTAAAGGGATTTAAAAGAAAAACTGTGCTTTTAACTAAGAGACGTGCTTTCTCAGCACTCTCGGAGACAGTTGGAGCCTTTGGCAACAAAACTAGCTCGACCCAGCAGCTCTGCTGGAGCACAGTCAGCCCTCCTGGCACGTGGAGACCCTACAGTCAGTAGGGTGCGCTTAGGCGCGAGGGTCTGGGGTCCCGCAGGTTGAAAAGGCACTGCTCAAGGAAGCTGCCCCTGAACGGAAGGTGCTCGCTGGGCTGCAGGTGGGTGGGTCACCTCTCTTCCTTAGGGCGAGAACCACTAGGGTTCTGGTCTCCATGGCTTCCTGTTCTGTGGGACCACCAGGCTCTGTGCCAGTGGAGTGACTTTGGCAAGTCCCCTCTCAGGCCCTAAATTTTCCCATCCAAATCAAGACAGGGAAAAATCTAAACATCTCCCAGAGTTCCTCCTGCTCTGTGGATCCAGCCCTCCTGTACTCCAGACCAGGAGTCTGCAGATTCTTTTGCCTGGGTGAGTCCTGGAGTGCTAGGCCTCTGGCTAGGGTACAGATCAGGGAAAACCTGTGCATCCCAGAACTGGGGCTCTCTCCTGATCCCCAGCTCTGGAGCCTGGAAGGTGAGTACAGTGGGAGCAAATTGTCCCCAAGTTGGAAGGAGAGGGGTTGATTTTCCTTTGATTCTGCTGTAGCTCTGCAGACCTCCTTCCTGGGAAAGGATTCCTGCCTCCCACAATGTCCAGACTTGGTAGTGGAGACCCTTCTTAATTGAGCTCTAGACTCCCTCTTCTTTCTCCACCTGCTGACTCCTTCCCTTGCCATTGGATGACTTCATCTGCCATTGTTGTCTTTATGCCTCCACACCTGCTGTTCTGATTGAAGTTCAAGCATCCCTTCTCTCCTTCACTTTGCAAAATCCTGTCTTGCTGAGGACCCAAGAAGCCCAGCTGAAAGGCTGCCTCCTCTGGGAAGGTGTTCTGTCCACCCAGCACAAGCATTGCTTCCCTGAGTTTCAACGCCCCTTTTGCATCTTCCAACCAGGCCTTGTTTCATGCTAGTTGGGAAGGGAGACATCTGGGGCTGGGCTTGTCTTTTACTTTGTGTGGGTTCCACAGGGCAGAGGCAGCCCACACAGCACTTAAGTGCTAACTTGGTGAGCTGCCCCAGAGGGCTTTCGTAAGATGTGGGGCTCCATGTCTCCCAAACTGCCCTTACCATCAGGCCTGAGCCTCCCAGTGGCCTGAGTGGGGCTGTGGATAGCTCTCCCCAGGGACCTGGAGGTTCAAGGCCTTAGGGGGATGGAAAAGGAGGGACACTAGGTAGAGACTACCTTCCTGCCCCCAGCCAGAGGTTAGGGAGGGGACCGATTCTGAAACCTACACCTCACAGTGGCATCCTTTAATGCCTAGAATCCTTTGGGCTCTTGCGGATCTGGGCCCCACCTCTTGCTTTCACCTAAAATAAAATCCTACGGATCAGAGTCTGTAGGGGTTCCAAGGCCACTTCCTCATTCATTCTTATCCTGGTTCCAAAGGCTCCTCCCCAGCCCAGGTCATCTTGGTCACCTCCTTGGAGAAGACTTCCATGCCTTTCTTCTCCAGCCTCCCTCTTTGGAGTGTGTGGCCTCTATTACCAGCCTGCCTCCTCCTTCCCCGCACCTCGCCAGTTCTCCCAAGGGCAGAGGCTATGTCTTACTCTGTGTAGCGTTTCCAGCACCCAGTCAGGCTTAAAGGTACGGTGAGAGGAACTCAGGGAGGCTTCTAGGACCCAACGAGCCCAGACCTGGCTACTCCGCCCCGGTTCTCCACACTGCGCTAAGCGCGGGGGAGCCGCGCAGGCGAGGAGCCCAGGGTGATCACTGTGGTCTCTGCTGTCTGCGTAGCAGCGCCCGGATGCTCTGGGCCCCGCGCCGGCCCCCCCAGCTCGCTTGCTCCCCAGCCGCTGCTTCTACCGTTAGCCGAGCTGGGAGCGCGCCTTCCAAGCTGCACTGGAGCGCTAAATGCTCAGAGCCCAGGGGCATCCGCTCCTAATGAGAACATAATTACCCAGATGGAGAGGGAGCCTCACCCCGTTCCCTAATTGTTGCCTTAATGGGGTGGTGGTGGCGGATGGTGCAGGGTGGAGGGAAGGCGTGGGACTCTGTCACAGGTTGTAGGTTGGGTCCTGGGCCGCTTGGACCCAGTGGAAGACGAAGGACCCTACGCTGCGGACGTGTGCCCAGCACTTGGCCTCTGGCTTCATATGATACCTTAGAATACTCTTCCCGAATCTAAGCCTTACTTCAGGGGACTTTCACAAATGCGAGAGGTGGGCTGGAAGACGTCTCGTGTTACTTCCAGGCGGTCTTACTTTTCTGATCAGTGTTGGTGAGTCTAAGCCTTCCTCCTGGTGTCCAGCCACCCACCTTCTGCAGGTGCTGGGCCTAGTCACCTCCACAGGCTTTCAAACAAAACATTGAAACCTAATATTGACTCTGGGTGAGGAAGTTGGGGAGCAGGAGCAGTGGTGCCCTGGAACCCAAGGTCAAACAGATGGAAAACTCAGGCACATCCCTTTGAGCTAATTCCGAGAAAAAAAAAAAAAAAAAAAAAAGGCGGGGCCTGGTGGGATTGCCCAGGGGCAATTACAAAGGTCTCTCAATCTCTTTGCATAGCCAATACATACACATTCCCCGTGATCCTCAGCGTCTTCGCATTTTAAATGGGAACCACAATGCCTTTACAACAGGGTAGTTGTGAAGACTGTGCTAAAAGGTCCAGAAAGTGATCATCACTGCCTGACACACAGTAGGTGCTGAATAAGTGGAGCAACACTAGGGAGCGATGGATACCTGGCGTATCCCAGTCACAGAAAGAGGACATACAGGAACATCTGGGTGGATTCCCAGCGGCATCAAACAGATGTGAAAACCGAAACCAGAGAGCAAGCGAACCTGAATGGGGAAAGTAGGAAAAGGATCCTGTGTTCTTTTTTGTTCCTGCACACTATCCTATCCTCATCTACGTCAACCACAAGAACGGGAGATTTTACCCACTAAATGTCTTTCCTCTTCATCCCTTTGCTTTTATATTTGCATCGACCATTGTAGATGAATGTTCTCTGTGTGTCTGCAGGCTCTCCCATCAGAACAAGAGCTCTACTGGCATGCCTGTGTCCCTGTCGAGGGTGAGCCTCCAGAGTAAGAACTGTGTCTTCCTCATCTTGCCTGTCCCTGTGCCTCCTACTCAGTGCCTGGCACAGAGCAGGTGTCCTGCGATTGTGTCATAAGCTAACCCAAATTGTGCCTGGCACAGTTGCAGGATATGAACACAGCCAATGAAAGTGCCCTTCAGGGAACTTCCTGAACCTCTCAGTCCCTCCTGTCTCCCCATCCCTCTGTAACAGTGGCAGGAACAATGCTGAAGTGCTCCCAGACCTTGGGCAGAGAGGGAGATCTTTCTAGGTACCCGCACTTGCTTTGATCTCTTCTTCCCATTTCACTCTCATCCCAGCCTGTCCCCAGCAAGTCCAGGTTGTGATCCTGAGAAGGCAGTGAGCAGGGACAATGAGAAACAGACCAGGATCAGTTGTATGGGTTGGCGTTTGGATTTGTTGCTACGTTTTCTCACTGGGAAAATGCTTTGCTGTGCATCGATGAGGCTGCCTGCACTTCAGGAGGCAGTGAGGAAGCACAGCACTGCTGATGTCAGGAAGGAGAGCCTCGTGATTCTAAACAGAGGTCTTCTGGTCATGTGGCCACAGCCCAGAGCCTAGGGAGATCTTTGTTCATCCTGCTAAGCTCTGAAGACTTCAAGGAGGGGGGTGTAGGGTGAGGGATAAGGGTGCTTCATCTGAGCAGACTCCAACCTGACCTCAGAGCTCTGAGCTCTGTATAACCCTTCGTATACCCTATACTTTATTGGCAAAGTCCTCCTCGACCCTTACTCATC